GATCCAGCACCTTAACCTCCACAGCACCTGCTGGTCCTCTAAGAGCAGTTTAGAATGGAGTGAAAGGGTGTCAAAGAACCTACACCCTGCCCCTAATACTACCCTAAGTTAACCCGCCCTCCCTACCCCTGCCCCTGCTGGTGTGAGACCAGCCGGCTTCTGCATCTGTTACTTACGGGAATGTGTCCAGCTCTAACCGAAAGGGAACACTCACAGGCAGAAATCCCTGAGCCCCTCTAGGACACGTAGAGCAGTACAGTGTTTCCTGGGCTGGCCCTGTGACTTAGAGGTTAAGACACACACATCCCAAATGGCTGACTGCACGGTTTGAATCCCAGCCCCTGCAGCTTCCAGAATGTTCCGGTGCAAGTGCTAGTATGTTCAAAATTCAGAAAGAAGGGAGAAACGGAGAAGAGATGGCAGTGATGCAGAAGGCAGCACTCCTCATGGGGGGCGCCTTCTCCCTCCCTCCCTGTCTGTCCCTCTCTGGGGTACGCGTGTGCCCTCTGACAATAAACAAACAACGCAATGTTTCTTAACCTGTGGAGGGGGACCCACGTTAGGAATTGTGCTTCTTGTCCGTGAATCTGTACTGGTACAGTCAGGCTCGACACAGCCTTTCAGGCAACCACCACCACATGCATGCCAGTGGTCTCACGAGACTATTAACATGCGGTCCAGGTGTGTGGTGGGCTACACTGTCTCCCTCTGTGGAAACACAGCGTCCACGCAAGGGCAAATCATCCGATTATCCATTTCTCAGAATGTGAGGTGATGCATATTTGAAGAAAGAAGGGACAAAAAAAATCTCACTTGGATATGTCTATATTATGATTAAAGCGTAGGTAAGTGTTTTGTGATGAATAAAATCCAGATTAGTGTCAAAGCCTACTAAATTTATAGCAGCTGTTTTGGTACTGTATTTCGACAAACGTGGAGTACAAGTTTAGCCACGATCCGTGGGGCTTGCAGAAGGTTTTGACTGGAGTAAAGGAGGTCACAGGAAAGGGTGGGGACCCTGCTGCAGCGTGGCCGCCGAGATGTGGACACTGGGTGAAGCAGACATGGCAGCGACTGCTGTAGGAACAGCTTTCCCACTTCTGGAAACCTCCGGGGGAGTTAGGAGACGATGAACCAGTGTGGGCTTTGACAGAGGAATGGAAACAATTCTGGAGCTTGAACACTGCCCAAGGATGAGCAGCTATTGTCTTGGCAACTAAATGGGGTAGGCTGTAGTTCTAAACGGCTGGGTCTGAGGGCCCTTGGGCTCTTAGGACATTGGCAGATGGCCTCTTTTATGGGCATTGTCATGGCCTTTATTTATGTATGAGAGTGACCCTGCTTAGCACCCCTCGGTGGGACTTTGTGAAGTCTGCACAGGAAGGCACGGTCCCAGCACACGTGACAAGACTGGGTAGCACAGCTGGGTAGCACAGCTGGGTAGCACAGCAGGGTAGCACAGCTGGGTAGCACATGATTTTTTTTTTTTTAAGAGAGATTTTTGTTATAGGGTGTGTGCGCTCACTGGAGAGACAGGGACAGAGAGAAAGTGAGAAATCAGCCCTCAGGGGGATGGCCACTCTGCAATCCCTTCTCCTCCATTCTCCTCTCAGGATTTTGGGCATGCACACACACGTGCCCGGCGTGAGTTTTAAGCCACCAGGTCCAGGATCTGAACCACAGTGGAGTAGCGGGAGAAAAGCGACATCACTATTATACCACCTGCTGGTTCCTAGCACATACTTTTAACCTGACTCTAAATCTACGTCCCCCAGCCTGCAGTCTGCTAGAGTCCATTCTCTTACAATATGTCAGTCACACTGTTTAGGTGTCAGTAACACTGCAGCGTGACAAACATACTCATTTACACCTTTATGATACTAGACAGTTTGATCGGAGAGTTGCACGATTAGCCAGCTGCTGTGGCTCTGACCCCCGTGTGGTGGGGAGGGACTGGGCAGTGCTGTATTGTGGGGTGAACAGCAGGAGGCAGATGGAAGAAGGGTGCTCACCACTTAGAAAACAAGGTGGCGGAAGGTCTCTCAGAGAAAGGCGATCTGGGGGAGGAGCTGGCAGGACCAAGACGACCAGCATGGTCCCACATAGAGGGACTGTGTTTATCCAGCGAGGGCCGGTGGGCTGTGGCCAGGCACCTTCTTCCTCCCTTCCTTCTGCTGTTCCCTTTGCAGCTTCCCGCAGCACTGATCTGAACTAGATCTTAGCCATATCAGAGTACCAACGCAGGGCTGTGGGAAGGGAGCAGTGTCACCTGGACACAGACGGAGAGTCTCTCAGCTTAAAATGCATTCTCTTCAGAGTTTTGGGACGTGTCCCGCCCAGAAACTCCGTGCCTTTGACCAGACTAATACTTTTTGCCCACTTTGATAACTCAGCAAAGCAGTCTGAACTTATAGTAGTGAAAAAGGAGCCGTGGTGTTTATGAAATGAACTCTGGATCAACAGAGATTCTGAACCTCAGCTTGTCACTTGCTGCTGGGTTTTGCTGTATTTTGTGGGTGCAGGTGTATGTCCAGGTGACAGGCCTGGAGGTCCACAGAGGGGAGCACTGCAGGGACAGGTAAAGGGCTCGAGATGCAGATGCCTCTGTGACTGCACTTCAGGTTAGGTTGCCAGGCAAAATGCTGGGGATCCGTAACCCCACCTGCACCTCCCCCTCTCCATATGCACATACGCACACACATACTTTGTGGTGCGCGTGTGTGTGTGGTCTTTTCTTACAGGGTCTCACTGTGTCCCAACCCTCCTGCCTCAGCCTTCTGAGTAGCTGAGGCTACAGGTGCGCACCACAGTACCCACTACCACAGCTGGGCCAACAGGAGGTCTATATGGGACAATAATCCTGTTCCATTCCATATTTGGAGCATACTTAGACACCAAAATGAAAAGAAAATGATTTATCTGAAATTCAAATTTTACTGGGCCTTCTGTATTTTTAATGAGTGATCAAGCAACCTCCCTTTATACTGAAATGTTAATGGGAGTCTAAGTGTTAAGTTAAAAAAAAAAAAAAGGGAGATGAAAGAAAGATGAGTGGCCGATTCAGAAAAGGAACAAGTAGCAAAGAATGCGAAGTGGTTTGGGCGTGAGGCGCTGAAGAGGTGGCTGGCAGGGAAACGGCACATGGGCCGAGGACACGCACCGCTGTATTCCCAGAGACGTCTGGGCCTCGTCACAAAGTGCTCCAGTCCCGAAGACCCAGCCATCGGCCAGGGTCACTACTTCTTGCTTTGTTGGCACCCCTGACACAATGCTGCCAGGGGCGAAGGCAGATACATGGCCAGCATTTCTGTTTGCCATGGCTTCTTTAAAAAGAAAGATTGGGCCAGGATTCCCGAGACCTTCAACAGCTGTAACCTCGGCTACGTTTCCCTGTAGACTATTTCCAAAGGGTATAGTGGGAGCTTCCGCGCCCCTCTGTACTCCCCAGCTCTGGTAAAATGGGTAGCCACCTGAGTGGAAGCAATTTTATTTCATCTTAGTCTGTGGCCCTGGCTGAGAGTAGGTGAGTGACACCCGGGCTTCCCTTCCTTAAGCACTCATGGGTCTGCTAGCGCTCTGGGCCATGCTTCAGATGGCTGCTAAGTCCAGAAAGGCACACCCAGGGAGTGCCCACTGACACTACGGCCATGCTTAGTGGCAGAGTGCAATAGGACACCTGCAATTCAGCCATTGTGTCAGGGCCCATTTGTCCAGGTTGGGAAGGAACCATGGGGGTTGGAAAGGGTTAGGTTGTAAGGCTGCAACTCAAAGTGTCTGGCCCCCCAAATGTTCCCAACTAAACTCACCGCCAGACCTCTCAGTGTTTCTCAATGCCTGGTATCGTTCACGTTCCCAGGCTCAGAACTCTGGCATCGGTCTGACCCCTGACGCACCCTCTTCTAACGCTGATAGGCTATTCTACCTCTGCAGAGCCTCGCCCATTGCCCTCGCCCCTGCCCTAATTCAAGTCATCCTTGCCTTTTATCGGGACCGCGGACCACTAATTATTCTCCTGGTGTCTAATTTCTCTCTAAGCCATTTAATTTAAACTGATTAAACACGTCAACTTATTTACATTGCTAAATATTTTTTCAGAAACACAGCTCTGAATATCAGTATTTTGAAATTCTTTACACTTTTAAAATTTAACTTTTCCCCCCCAGAAGGTGTGTGCACGAGAGAGAGAGAGAGAGAGAGAGAGAGAGAGAGAGAGAGAATGTGTACCAGCTGTGGTCATGCTGCAATCCTATTTGTTTTTTTTTTTTTTTTTGAGAGGTTTTTGCTATAGGGCGCGTGTGCTCGCCAAAAGACAGAGAGAGACAGAGAGACAGAAAGCGAGAAATCACCCCCCAGGGGGGATTGCCACGCTGCAATCCCTTCTCCTCCATTCTCCTCTCAGGATCTTGGGCATGCACGCACACGTACCCGGTGTGAGTTTAAGCCACCGGGTCCAGGATGCGAACCGCGGTTGGCTCCATGGGAGTCCAGCGACATAGCCATTACGCTAACTGCTGGTTCCATGCAATCCTATTTCCTCTATCTCTCCTTTCTGTTAGTCTTTTGGGCACTCATAGACATGCACCCGGCATCACCAGGCCAGGACTCAAACCCACAGAGTAGGACATGCTCCCAATGCGCAGTGCTTAAGCACCGGCTCTCAGACCAGCCTTCGAAGTCTTTTAGATAACTCAGCTCATACCAAATCCAGCCATGGGAGAGAGAGACGGCAAACCATGGAATCTAGGTGGAGCTGAACAGGTTAAGTCCCAAGGCCACTGGGAATTTGCTGCTTTGTGGCCCTTGAAAGAACTCTTGTTAGAGCTGGCAGAGAAGCAGGCAGGCTTCCTTAGCAATGACCCCACTTCCCCATGACGAAAATAAGGAAAGAGGACTTAGAGAAATTTTCTCCAGTTCATCTCCTTTCAAAGGAAATAAAACACAGAAATGGGATTGAATTCTGAGTGAACAAGAAAAAGGCTCAAGGGAGCTGAACTACACAACCAGAGGAAACGAACAAAAGGCGCTTCCAGTGAGGCGTCTGTGCACAATCTCGGGTAAACACGGGGCCAGAGATAATGCAGAACATGATTAGACCGGACTTAAGGGGGTGAAGGTACAAGAGCTACCGAAGCAGACCTTGCTAAGCCTCCCTGTGTCTCAACACTTCCCATGCTCTTTATTCTAATTGGTCAAGACTTTTTCTGGAAGATTACAAGGGAATGGCATCTTTGAATCAGGGGGCTGGGGCTCTAGGAAGCGAGTCCGATTACACAGCGTCCTGTATATTAGGGTGTGATCTGGACCAGAGCTCACCTTGGATCTGGCAGAGGTCCTTCCCCTCATTTCCCTGAGGATTATGGGTCAACATGATCGGCTTCTCAGTGGGGAAAGTTGAGTGTTTTATCAACTGGGTCTTGAAGCTGCTGTCTGTGGCCTAACTGATGATGCCCCAAATGGGAGTGCAGATCCAGAGAAGAGCCCAGAGTCGCGTGCGCGTCGCTCTGTGATAGGTCACCAGGTAGCTACACAAATCAATGTCTAGTAACGACTGCCATCGGATCAGTGGCTCGAGTCCGGCAGAGTCCCACAAAGCAGTACTTACGGCATCGGGACAGCCTACGAACGTCATCACGAGCATGGATTACGTTAGCCGTAAGTAACTGACCGAGAAATGTAAAAGCTAAGGGTATTTTAGACCGTTCTATCAAACAACTTGTTCTTGTATGACAATGTACGATGACCACCATTTAATTAGTGCATTTACAGTGTCCTTTTCTTTTTTTAATAACAAAAATAAGTTTTCTCTTCGCTTTCTGTTTTCTCAGGGGAATGAAGCTTTTGAAAATAAAGCATCAGGCTAGAAGAACAGTCTCAGCTCAGATGTCTCTCGGCCGTGGTGACAATGTCTCTAATAATGCTACCCCACTGTATGAGTGGGCTTCAAAATGTTCATGGAAAAACGAATTAAAGTACAAGTTTATTTTGCTGCAAAAATTTTGGAAATTTGTGCATATATTTTCATAAAACACATTTTCCATGAACTTTTTTTCCCCCCAAACTATCAAAGGTGATGTGCACTTGCCAGAAAGAGAGAGACAGGGAGAAAGGGGGGGAGAAAGCACCCGCGTTGGTGGGGTGCGGCCACACTGTGCAATTCCTTCTCTCCATCCTGTCTGGAGTTGGGACACATGTGCAAGGGCCCAACTGCTGGGATCAGGACTTGAACCTTGTGGTTGGCCATGTGGGATGCAGACGCCTTAACCATCAGGCCATGGCGTACGCCCTCCATGAACATATTTTTTAAGAGAGAGAGATTTTTGCTATAGGGTGTGTGAACTTGCTGGATAGACAGAGAGCAACAGAGAGACAGAAAGTGAGAAGTCACCCCCCAGTGGGGGATGGCCACACCACAGTCCCTTCTCCTCCATTCTCCTCTCAGGATTGGAGGGCATGCATGCACAGGCAACTGGCATGAGTTTTAAGCCTCTGGGTCTGGGACTCGAACCACGGCACCTACGTGGGAGTTCAGCGACGTAACCATCACGCCATCAGCAGGTCCCAATGAATATTTTTAATATCTATTTGTTTTCCATTGATTTCGGTGTCTTTCTTAGGAGGTCTCTTAAAAGATACACAAAAACGTGTCTCATTAAGGCGCTGGCTGAATAAGCAAATGAGCATAAACAGCCTTAGAGCAGAGGGGATTTGAATATTAAATGTCTGAACATTTTGAATGACAGGAAGGACAGCCATATTTTCCAGGAATGCTTCCCCTCCTCTGGGCGCTCTAGGTCTGCCCCTGGAGACTGCGCTGAGGACCTTAGCGCACCCTAGCGGCAGGACCAGAGAGGACCGCAGAGGCTTTGAGATCTCTCTTCTCCCCCAGAGCTAATTGCTGCTATTCCCGTTGTTCCTGTTGGGAGATGAAATGAAATTGATTTTCATGCTTAAAATACATAGATTAATGGTCAGGATATTATTTGCACTCAGGAAAGGGAGTGGAAAGGAACAGGCACAGGAACTCAAAGGGAAGGAAAAGACTCAGGATCTTTTGTCTTTTGTTCTGAAATGGAAATAAACTATCTCCAGCCTAGATAAGCCTCCTTTTGATCTTCCTCTGCACTAAGAGGAGATAAACAACTGGCTGTTTTACATTTGCTTTTAAAATTCAAAGCTAATTCCACACCAAACCAACTGTGCTGGGCGTTTTCATTCAGAGAGGCCCTCCCTGACCTTCCAGCTCTATCTGTCAGCTCTCTCAAGGCGGCCACAGCGCTGGCCCACGGCAGTCCACCCCGCAGCCCACCCGGCAGCCCGTCAGGAAGTGAGCTGGATGATCAGGCTGTTGCTTTTCCTGAGGGTGACCCTGTGGTTATGACAGTTGGACAGGACCGTCTAATTTATCACCATGCTATGAGGGAGAGCACATACTCCTCTCTGCATTGTCAGAAAGGTCATGGGTATAGGAAATGTGATTTAGAATTTCCTGGGAAGTTTGTTATTCACCCAGAAAGTCCACATAAGCATGTATCTTCATCTTTGCCATGTGATGCATCGGAAGGAAATGCGATGTGCAGTCTTGGAAATTTGGGGGCTTTACTACCACGGAGCTCAAGGTTAGACCCTACTCAGCACTGCTCAGTTTTAAGTTTGTTTCTCACAGATGAATCAACTGTGTTCAATGACTGATACTTTTTTGGGAATGTGTGCATGTATTGTAGATACACACACACACATGCCTATACATATATTTATTGGTGTTTATTTATTTATTTATTTCTTCCACGAGCAAGAAAGAGAAAAACCAAAGAATCAGCATCCTTAACTGAGTCTCAACATGGCGACCCACTCCCAGTCTCATGGTCATGGGTAGGCATGTGCTCAGGGTACTAGGGGAGCTCTTCCAATGCAGAACCTCCCCATGGAGAGCAGCCTCACAGAGTATCATGTTTTACCACTGCACCCCTGTCTTGTCATAAATAGTCACTTTGTAAAAATGTATTATTGTTATTTTTTAATTTGATAGAAGGCATATGCACATGCCAGAGAGAGACAGAGACAGGAAGAGGGAGAAAGCATTCCTTAACAGGGGTGTGGCCATAGCACAATCCCTTCTCCTCCATTTCTCCATCTCTTCAGGATTTGGGGCATGCACATACACACAACCAGCCTGTTTTTCAAACCACTGGGTCTGGGACTTGAATTGGGCTGTCAGTAATGTGGGACTCAGCTCCCTTAACTACCAGATCACAGCTGACCTGAATATTTATATTTTAATATTTAGTAGTAGCAAGAAACAACAGAATGTGATTATTTATTTATTTATTTCCTTTTTGTTGTTTCGGAGTTTGGATATCCCAGGATTGAATCTTGGCTCTGTTTTGGAATTATCTATGAGAACTTGGGCAAGTTCCTTAATCACATTTGAGTGTTTTTATAAAATGAAGAAATAATTCCTACCTTGTAGAGCTTTACTGTTTTTAAAACTTAGAGCTAATATGCATAAAATATCTTAGAGTATTGCCTGACTTAATGTAGAAACTCACTGAGGAACAGCTCTTAGTAATAAAATTTAAAAATCACCACTAGTCAAGTGACAGAGCATCGAAGTTTCAATTTGCACTTGGGCCTCAGAACCAGTTTTGTGGCTTGTCAAGCTATGGATCCTCAGTTTCTCCACTTGAAAAATGAAAGAGGTGGTCACAATTTTCCTTTTTGTAAAGAAAACACCTGGTGATATTGCCTTCATAAACTCCTCAGAGGGATTAAGAACACAGAGGACCATTTCTGCTTTAGGTCCCTTAAACCCTAAAATTCTGTCAAGTCTGTTTAGCACAGTAATTTTAATTTTTGCTAATTTGTATTAAGGTGAGCTACACTAGAGAAGACAACGGGTACATGCTAAAATTCTTTAGAGATAAAAGATGTTATGAGGGATCTATTTCTCTATGTTCTTTAGTTTTGAAGGGCCAGTTCTTGGTTGATGAGCGAAACACAATAGAATGTCTCATTGAACATGCGTCTCCATGGCATGGCAGTCAAATGGAACTCTCTGGAAGGCCGACCCCATGGGGGAATGACCTCATGGGAGGACAACCTCAGAGGAGAACCTGGTTCACGGGTCTGAAGACCTCCCCGAGTTCACCAGGCACGTGTCTGTCCATGACTCACAGCTAGCTGAGGCTGGAGATGGATCCTGACGTCAAAACCAAATTTTTGGGGATGCTGTGTGTGTCTGTCTCTGTCTCTCTCTCATGGAGAAAATAAATACACGAACTTTAAAAAGTGCAGTCACAGATACTGAGAAGAAAATTCATTTAACAGTCTTTCACAGTAATTAGGAATTAATAGAAGTTTTGTGAATAGTAAGACATAAATGGCATGTATTCTTGACTCCAGAAGACAGCTTTGCAAATATGTTCTGTACAGTAGAGAAAACATTACTTAGCACTGTTTTGCAGACATTGGCTGTCACTCGTAAGTGATGCTATAGAGTCTAATAAGAAAAATGGAAGCGGTGGTCTCAATCATGAGCTTTTAACTAGGGGACTTTAGGTTAAGGTCCCATCTTTCATAACATTGCTCAAAGGATTAAAGAAGTCCACTGGCTGAGGGCTCCAAATGCTCTGAAATCTGTAAACTCACTCCCTGTTTATCGAATATATTAATTTCACGTTGTTTACTGGAGGACATGCTGTAGTTAACCATCTCAGAAGTTCCTGAAGTGGGGGTGGAGGTGGGGTGGAAAGTAAATCGTTCAGCTTATCACAGACTTGGAACTGCTCCTGAGGTACAGAAGATAAAAAGAGAATAACTCTTTCTCTCTAGTGCCAACCAGGGATTGAGGCAAGAAGGAGTAGAAAAGCTGCTTCTAAATTATCGTCTCCTTCCATAAGGTGTAGAGGGTTTTTATTAGGGACTAAGTCAAAATTTCAGGAATGATATAGTTAGTGTCATTTACGCTGGACTGACCTATATTTATTTTTATATTCTCAATTCATATGATTATAATTTTATTTTTTAAATTGCTAGAGGGTGTGTGTACTTTTGGACAGAAACAGAGAGTGGTCCATGGTCCATAGTTCCTTCTCCATCTCTCCATCTTGGGGGTTTGGGCATACATACGCATGCACTTGGTGTGTTTTTCAAGTCATTGGAGCTGGGATTTGAACTGCCTACAAGTCAGCCATGTGGGCTCAGCTCCCTTAACCACTGGTCTATAGGGATGGCCAATTAAAAGAAAATTCTAACAGAGGTAAAGTCAGGGTTGATTGAGCTTCCTTTTATTCAGTTTTCTTTTTCTTTTCTATACAGGATCTTACCGTGTCATGCTCTTCTTGACTCAGCCTCCCAAGGGGTTCAGACTATAGGAGCACACCGCCACCTCTGACTTCTAGGGAGGGGCTGGGACTAAACCCAGGCCTCTCGTGTGAGCCCGGCCTGTGGAGCAGCAGCCCCAACCAGTATGTGCTACCTCTACTTCCTTTTTTTTTTATCTTAAAGAATTATTGATTTTATTTATTATTATTATAGTTTTTAAATTTGTTATAGGGCATGTGAACTCACCAGAGAGAGAGACACAAACAGAAAGAAAATATGAGCCACCAGGTCCAGGACTTGAACTGCCATTGGCCATGTGGGAATCTAGCACCTTAACCACTACACCATCTGCTGGCTCCCTCTACTTCCTTTTAAAAAGTGGTTTACCTCTGCAGACTTGTATGTAAGGTCTAACATAAAATCTAATCAAAGCCTTGAAGACAGTACCTCTGGAGTACTCTTAGGCTCAAATTCCTTGGGAAGCCTGCGTTTCTAGTGTGGGTGGCGCCTCAGGTGAAGATGTGCTGGAGAGGGTCTAAAGTGAATTCCAGATAAATCCTCCTACCCTTGGGAGCAAGCAGGTTTATATTCGTGGTAGAGCAGGCTCAGCATCAGTTTACGGGCTAGGAGCTCAGCATAAGATCAACAAGTCTACATGTCATTACCCCATAAAGAAGCTGATCATAACAACAAGCCCAAACGTCAATAATTATATTTAATCTATATGGCGCCATTCTTTTGAGAATATTGCATCATTTATAGGCATCATCTGGGAGTAGCTATTTTTATAACTAATTTAGGGAGTCTGGGAATCAAAGTAGTAATTATTTAAGAGTTAAGTTCAAGTCTTTTAAGGGTGCTTGCACAATTATTTTGGGGATATACTTTCAACCTCACTGACTGAGACCCCTGACAGGGTGTGGCCAGCCTCACCTCGAGGCCAAGTCACTTATTTTTTTATTTTAATTTATTTTATGCACTCAATCACGTATGCCACTTGACTTGTAAAGTGAAGGTTCCAGCATGAATACATTTCTCACCAGTCTAGTTGGGGATACTATACATGTTATCATCAACAGATAATAACCCGTTTCTGTGTCCCATGAAAGTCTTGCCTCTCTAGAGACTAAGTCATTTCTAGGAAGACTTTCGAATAAGAGAAACCAAAGGGAGGAAATCAACATTTTTTATTACCTAGTATGTCCTAGAAACACAGTGCTGATGCTTTGTACATTTTATAATTCATTTATTTTTCACATCTAATAATTTGCTGTAAGGGAAGAAGTAGAATTTTAGTTAGTGTTATTGTTATGGTAGGATGAAATGAAGCCACACACAGCAAAGTTAGATGAACACAGGGCACACAGCAACCCTTTCGTAAGTGTTCACCATCATTATAATCCTACCCCCAACCCCTGCCTTTTGTTTACAACTGCCAGAGGGTGCAAGTATTTACCACAGTGAGACAGAAAGTACCCCCAGCCCCCAACGGGGCGTGGTCACACTGCAATTCCTTCTCCTCCACTCCTCCATCCTGTCAGGATCTGGGGCAAGCATACATATGCACCTGGTGTGTTTTCTTAAGTCACTGGGGCTGAGATTTGAACCACGGTTGGCCATGTGAGTCTGGCTCCATTACCCACTAGGCCAAGGAGCTGGTCCTGTAATTCTCTTTTTCAGATAATGTGCTGTATAAATTCTCCCAACTCACCCCGTTAGGAAGTGGCAGAATAAGAATCTGAGTTTTTTCCCCGACTTCAGTTATTCAGGACTATGTACTGAATTGGGTAAATGTCTCACGTAGATTTGTATGGTTTCTATTTCAAATATCAGAAAATAGTTTTATTTCTCTATAACTTCACTGACCTCAAAGTTTTATAAAGTTGCACATCAAAAGGAACATGGGAATCAGCTTCCGGAATTTTCCAGAGACTGCAAGATTCATTTTAACAAACCTTGGATTACTCTCATCCTGAGTTTCTTGTCTCTCATTAATTTCTTTTTCTACAACTTTCTTAAATTGATGTTGCTGCCTTTTTGATTTCAGACCCCCACTGGGCAACAAAAAGTTAATTAGGTTGTATAAAGGTTTCTTTTTTCTGCATGCTTAATGAGAATTGATATTGCATTTCTTCCCAGCATAGTTTTACTGATTGGTTTTAAATGTCTTGAACTTTGACTGAACACATATTTTAAAAATCAAAATTTAGGGCCAGCAAGTGACATAGTGGTTAAGACGCTGGATCCTATATTGTCAACTTCATGGTTCATATCCCAGACCCAGCAGCTTGAAAAACATGCCGGGTACATGTGTGTGCATGCCCTAAAATCCTGAGAGCAGAACGGAGGAGAAGGGATTGCGACCAGTGTGTTCATGCCCCCTGGGGGTTGATCTCGTACTTTCCCTCTATCTCTGTCTCTCTCTCTCTGGCAAGCACCTGTGCCATATGGCAAACATCTAAACAACAACGTTAAAACACTACGTATGTCTTTCACGAGATTAAGAGAGAGAGAAGGCAAGCGTCCCCGCAGGGTTTCTCTTCACAGTCATTTCCTCTCCTTCCAGCCAGCCGGGGTCACGAGCACACATACCTGGCTTGTGCAGCTCAACCAGGGAATTGAACACCCTGTCCCCCCAGCTCCCAGCTTCCAGGTGGATCCAACATCTCTCGAGTAGCGCATGACCACCAAGCCAGCCCACAGTCGAAATATGTTTAAAATCAACATAGTTTTGAAAGCTTTATGGAATTGCCTTGACTATCTCGAAGTGAACACACATTTGGGTCCTGTTTTTCAAGTTCCCCGTTAGAGGTCTGGCTTCTTGCAAACGAGCAGAACAAAGTCCCGTCTGGATGGATACACGCCAGCCCAGACTCCCGGGGCAGGATTCAAGCTTGCACACTCTATTTTCAGACCGATCTGGTGACGTAAGGGTTAGTGCTTCTACAGAAACCAAAATACATTGCTGTTTCTTTTGTTCTACCTCCTCTTTTTTTTTTTTATTTTTTAGATACTGAATAACAGATAAAAACTGGTTTACTGAATTTTAAGTACATATGAGATTACAGATTTGAAATGATTTTAGAAATAGAATGCATTTTGAAACTTGTATTCACTAGTGGTCCTCATCTCTACCAAATATTAAACCATCAGTAAAGCTTTCTTTTTCTACCTTGTACGTTGCAGGCAGATGCTTTTAAGTGCTCTTCTTGAGCTTTTAATCACCTCCCTACATTCTCACTTCCCTCTTGTTTTTAAATGGAGTTTAAAAATCAGGGTAGTTTTGAACTAATTATAAGCTCACAGGAAACTGCAAGAACAGTACAACCCTTGCTCAGCTGCTCTCAGTGTGCATGATCAAAATCAGGAAATTGACTGATATCAAATTAATAGACTACGGAGGCTGGTCAGACTTTCCAATTTTTCCATGCTCTAATATTTTATCTTTGTGGACAATTCTATGACATTTCTTTTTCTTTTTTGAGAAATTTTTGCTATAGGGCGCATGCGCTCGCCAGACAGAGAGAGACAGAGAGACAGAAAGTGAGAAATCACCCCCCAGGGCAGATGGCCACACCGCAATCCCTTCTTCTCCATTCTCCTCTCGGGATCTTGGGCACGCATGCACACACACCCGGCGTGAGTTTTAAGCCACCAGGTCTGGGAAACGAACCGCGGTCGACTACATGGGAGTCCAGCGACATAGCCATTATGCTAACTGCTGTTCCCAATTCTATGGCATTTCTTAACACATGTATGATCATAGCCAGATTTCCCAAAACCATTTAGAGACAAGACACTAAAATTGGCAAGACAGAAACATCAAGTTGCTTTCAAAGGCCATCCCATCAGGCTAACACTGGACCGCTCATCAGAAACGATGCCAGCAAGGAGAGAGTGAGAAGGTATATTCTAAGGGTTAGGTGGAAACAATTTCACCAGGAATACTATATCTGGCAAGACAAAACAGTCTCAGATAAACAAAATCTGAAAGCATTTACCAACACCAGACCAGCTCTCCAAGAAGTACTGAAACTAAAGTCAGACACACCGAAATAAGAGTACAAAAACAACCAAGAAAATGACCACCCTAATGGTAGGGACGAGTTTGGTATTGAATGTTAACTTCCAGAGTTCAAACTAAAGACCAGACCACAGTAACAGTGCAAATTCAAAGGAGAGAGATTAATTACATGAGACTGAACTAGTGAAATACAATTTCATGACTTTTTTTTTTTTTTTTGAGAGGTTTTTGCTATAGGGCACATGTGCTCACCAGAAAGACAGAGAGAGACAGAGAGACGGAAAGTGAGAAATCACCCCAGAGGGGATGGCCACACCGCAATCCCTTCTCCTCCATTCTCCTCCTGGGATCTTAGGCACATACTCACACATGCCCGGTGTGAGTTTGAGCTGCCAGTTCCGGGACTCGAATCGTGGTCAACAACATGGTAGTCCAGCGACATAGCCATTACACCAACTGCTGGACCCAGAATTTCATGACTTTTGACTGAAATATTTCTGATTTTCTTCTATGCTTTGTTTTCCAGATTTAAGGATTTTTGTCTTCTCTTGAACTGTTGATGGTTTCATTTACCTACTGTTTGAACTGAATCCTTTTTCCTGGCTTTAAGTCTTAAGCAAATTTCTCTTAACATTTTTTTTTTTTATTTTGATCAATTAAAACTAAAATTGTTTTTCTTGAAATTAAAAAGTGAACGTAAAAATGCAAAAAAAAAGTTAATGGAAAAGGTGTCTTATGAAAAAACTATGCATGAATTTCATTTTTTTTTGCATTAAAAATACATATTTTCATTCAATTTTTCCATAAACTCTTGTAAGACCCCTCATATGTACAGGTTCATGGAACCAAAAGTGACAGGAAGATGCAGAGCAGTTCTGTCCCATAAAGGAACTCTCGCCTGCTGCCCCTCTGTGGTCAGACCGCCCGCTGTCCCTGTGCTCTGCCATCACTGATCCGTTCTCCACGTCTGCCATTTTGTCATTTACAGGGTGTTATGGAAACGCACTCATACTGTATGTGTCACGTGGTTATGAGTAGAGAATCAATCTATACAGCTTTTTTGGACACACGAAACAATCAAATTTGGCTGAACAGGTAGTTGGATACCACATGGCCAGCTGAGCGATTCAAGTCACGGATCCAGCTGTTTGAAAATCGTGCTGGGCATGTGCGTATGTATGCCTCAAATCCCAAGAGGAAGCAGAGGAAAATCCCTCCGGGAGAGTGATTTCTCACTTTCTCTATCTCTGGTTTCTCACTTTCTCTCTCTCTGGTGAATGCGCGCGCCCTGGAGCAAAAACAAACAAACAAAAGAACCCCCTAAACAGTCAAACTTCATAGCGTCTTACTCTGCTAAATTACAGTTCTAGGTTCATACTTTGCTTTTCTAGATATACACTTGCTTATTTTATTTCATAAAAATAAAATATACTGGGGCTGGCAGTGGTGCAATGGTAATGATCTGTAAAACCAGAGCAGAATGTTTTCTGTCAGGACTCCGTATTAGCAGAAAGATCTGATAGAAAATACAGCCGTTATTTTAACATTCATTATTAGATCATGGATATATACACACTCGTATTCATGTTTATTTGTTTAAGCCATGAGTGAGGGAGACAGCAAGTGAGAGAGACAGCACCTCACACGGGGTCCCCAAACTGCAGTTCACCCCCTGCCTTCGGCCGCCCTGGACCATGGGTACACACATGCCTGGCATACTGTGGGAGCTCTCCAGGTGTGAACTGGAACCTTTACCTTTCCATGTGTCTGTGTACAGAGCATCACACATACCACTGTCCACTATTTTTGAAACTTTTGTGCAAAATTTCAAACATGTACAAAATAGAAAAAAAATACACTTCCATGCACTCAGCTGTAAAACTTATCAATTCCTTGTCAGCCTTGTTTCTTCCATAGCCCACCCATGCCTTTTCGGTTTGAGGGCCTTATTGTGAAGCAGAGTCCAGAGGTCATTACTTCATCCATAAATATTTCAGAATGAATTTCTAAAAACTAAGGCTTTTTAAAGATTTAATCACAATCATACCGAAGAATTAAAGATAGTTTCTGGGCCAGCTCCATGGCTCATTTGCCAAGGAAATTGGATCCCATATGGTGACATGGTTCAATACCCTGGCCTGGCCAGTCTGGTCATGCATGGTATGCCCTGGAGTGTCCAGGACCCAATGGGAGGATTAAAGGTAGGGATAACAATGTGACCACACTCTGTGGAAGTGCTCCTCTCTCTCTCTCTTTCACTTGTGCAACCATGCACTCAATTATAAATACAGAAAAAATGTATTTTAAAAAAGATAAAGACATTTTTTTTTTAATTTAAAAAATAATTTGCAGAGGGTATGTGTGCTTACCAGAAGGAAAGAGAGAAAGGATGGAGAATGGACCTCCGGTGGGGTGTGGTCATGCCACAATCCCTCTCTGCCATTTCTCTATCCTGCCAGGATTCTGGGCATGCATGCAGATGTATCTGCCATGCTTTTATGCCTAAGGCCTAGATTCGAACTGTGGTTGGCCATTGGGATCTGGGTCGCATAACCACTAGGCTATGGGGCCAGCCCTAAAAAAGATAGTTTCTTATAATATCTACTAAGTGTTTGGATTTCTTAACTTTTCCATAATTTTTAGTTTTTACAGCTGAATGAAGTAAAATATTTTTATGTGACAATGACATAGCCTTTGAATGAACTGGCTCAGGAATTTAGGGCTAAATTTTGTCTTAGAAATAAAATTCTTTTATGTTACTTGGGAACTTTATAAAATGTTTTTATCTTTACTATTTTTTTTTTGAGTATCCGTTTTATAGGAAAATCTGGATATTGGATGACATGCCATAAGTTTTCTATATGTCATTTATTGGAGAACTGAGATTTTTCATTGTTTTTATAATTATCGGAATTACAGAGGACTTCAGAAGCATACTCAAGTTGTTAAATACAGTACCTATCACAAACTGAGTTTACTGCTTATAGAATTTTACAAGTGCAGTAATTCCAATCTTCTTTAACTCAAATTCCTGCAGAAGAGACATGGTAACACCCTTGCATTTCAGAGGTTTACTAAGATATATATTACCAAACAACCGTTCTTAGGGAATTTGAAGGAAGTAATTAATATGCAGTGACAGCAAAGGCTGTGACGTGTGGCTGTCTACCGGGGAAAAGTGCCCACATTCCAATTCGCTGGCTATTTTATATTTCAGATACTATTTTAATCATTAGTGTGACCAGGAAAATGTTGGCCCTTGGACTGAGAATCACATACCACTAGTGCTATCTCCAGGCAGAATGGAAAAAAACCAGAATCAGAGTGGAGCAATTCCAATTTAGTATCTATAGAATAGACTTACAGTTGTGAAATGAATGTACTCTTTCTTCAATTTTATCCTTGACTACTTGCTAGAATTTTGAGTCAGTTAAAATAAAAAAAAAATTAAAAAGGAAAAGAATGGTTGACATTTAAACTGAGATTTTTTTAGGTTATACAAAATATTTAAGATGATAGGATATATTTGGTTCTTATGTCAGTTGCTGGTCCATCCCAAATGAATGACAAGAACTATCTGTTTCAATAAAATGGTTCTGGATCAACTAGCTGTCCATATAAAAAAGAAAAAGGTCTTGATCCTGCTCTCACATCCCAGATTTTAAAAAAAGTCAATTCAATAGACCTCAGATTTAGGTCTGAAAGGTGAACAACACAACTTCTAGAGAAGTAGTAGAACTTCTTCTTGACTTGGGAGTGGGTAAAGACTTCATAACCCGTAAGACAACCCAAAAAAAGGACTACTGACAAAAGAAAAACGATAGATTTCTCTAGTAATCTCTGTTTATCAAAAGACAATGTTAAGACAGTGGGAGAAAACTTTTCACAATGCATGTATCCAACAATGGTTTAATATCCAGAATATACAAAGAACTCCAGAAAATCTGTAAGAGAAAGACAATTCCCTATACATCCATCACAATGGCTCAGATAAAACAAGAAGATTCCTAAGTATTGAATGTTCAACAAACGAAACTCTCATGTACTGCTGGTAGGGGTGTAAAGAAAACTATCCGGTTGTGTCTGTGAACTGGGTTATAGGAGTTATACCAAATGTATACCAACATAAACACATACCAAATAAAACTGTAGGCATTTGTTCAACAAAACACGTGAATTGGAATGCTCATAGCAACATCATCTGTAATAGCTGCCAATTGGAAACCTTATGAATACATATTAGCAATAAAATAGATCAATAAATTATAGAACAGTGTGTCTTCCAAATCTGTGAGTTCCATGGACCAGGGCTTCGACCAATCACAGGTGGAAAATACCGTGGTTAGTCCTATGGTGGTTGCATCTGTCTTGAACATGTACAGACCTTTTTCTTGTCGTTAGTCCCTAAATGACGCAGTATAACAGCTATTTACACAGCATTTACATCGTCTGAAGTAGTATAAATAACCTAGAGATGATTTAAAGTATATAGGAGGATCTGTCTACAAATTGTAAAAGCTGTATGTAAATATCGTGCCATTTTATATAAGGCTTTTGTCTATCTTTGAATATTGGTATCCACAAAAGGGCCCTTGGAATGCCAAAAAGGATGTGAACACAGAGAGAGGACTATCAATACAACAGAGTGTTCGACAAACCAATGGGAACAAGCACTTTAGAGCTACACAAATTGTGGGAGAATTTCATGAGCATAATCGTGCTGAACGAGTGAAGCCAGACGCAAAGTAGTGCATACTGTGTGATGAGATTTGCGCGAAAGCAGAATGAACCTCTGCTGCTCCAAGTGAGAGACCCTGGACGTGGCGGTGGTGGTGGTGACAGGGAGCACGTGGGGTCTGCTGCAGGCCCCCAACGTCCGGATTCCTGACATGGGTTTCGGCTAACAGGTATGTGCAGTTTCTGAAATTTAGCAAGGTGTACACTTACACTTGCACTTTTTTGTATGTATATTACTCTGTAATAAAAGGTTAACAAAAAGGTAATTACTTAGGATGCACAAGAACCAAATAGGTAAGCCTATTTGGCTGAATTGCTGTAAAAATATGAACACCTCGCTGGCTTTGTGATACATGGATTACTGTGTGTCAGCGGTAAACCTTGAGCTTGTAGTAAATTCATGTATATTATTAAGCATCCAGGTACATGTCCATGCAGACTGTGCTAAAAGACATTTCCTTACTCCCTTAGCTTGTATTTCAAGGGTCCCACTAAAAGGGTATACCTATCTCAGAGGTAACCTATTGTCTTTTTTTTTTTTTTGGAGAGGTTTTTGCTATAGGGCGCATGCCCTCTCCAGAAAGACAGAGAGAGAGAGAGAGACAGAAAGTGAGAAATCACCCCCGTGCCCCAGGGGGATGGCCACACCGCAATCCCTTCTCCTCCATTCTCCTCTCAGGATCGTGGGCACACACGCACACGCGCCCAGTGTGAGTTTAAGCCACCGGGTCCGGGACTTGAACCGCAGTCGACTACGTGGGAGTCCAGCGACATAGTCATTATGCTAACTGCTGGTCCCAACCTACTGTCTTTAGTCCAGTCAAATGAAGCCCTCTTTTCTCTGAACGTCCACGATGCTTTGTTTCTATTTCTTTACAGTGTTTACTCCCTTACTTCGAAGCCTTACTCCATTGTTTCTAGTCTGTCTCACCCACCAGGCTGTTAGCCCTCTGAGGGCACCTTGTTTGCCATGGAGCACAGCATACATACCGAGCAGATTCAAAATCAATGTTGGTCAGAGAGGTTTTAGTTCTGCTCTACGTCTTTAGCCTCCTTTGCTGAAAATCAGACTTAACTGTAACCTTCAGAGGAGTCACATTGCATTTGAAAACTAAGATCCGTAGTAAAACTGCAGACAATAGCTATCATAACTAAACAAGGCTCTGCGGATTCCTGAGTAACTGTGCCGGAGGGAAGGAGATAGGACAATCTACATCGCTTGTACCATTGTTCTCCTGATACTGCACTTGAGAATGCGTAATGCAAGCCACCCAATAATTTGGGTAACTTCTAGCTAAAATCCGACAATTATTTCACGCTTAACCTGATCGTGAATTTCCTTTTTTTTTTCCAGTTTGCTAGAGAGTGCATGCGATCACTGGAGAGAGGGAAAAAAAAAAGAAAAGGAGAAAGCATTTCTCATTGGAGGCAGTCAAGCCACAACCCCCTCTCTGTTGCTCTCTCCTTTTGGGAGTTTGAGTATACATGCACATGTGCCTGGCGTGTTTTTCAAGCCACCAGGTCAGGCGCTCGAACCACATAGCCAGCCATGTGGGATCCAGCTGCCTTACACACCACCAGCAGCTGGCTCCTAGTTATGCGTTTTATCCACAAGGTCCTGCCACCAAGTTAAAGACCTCTTTGTGAATGACAGAACCGTGGGAGCAGGGAAGAGTGGGCTGACTAATCTGTAGTTACAAGGCTCAAAATACAAATTCACTCTCTTGCTCTCAGAAAGTGAGAGGAAATGCTTGACCATTTGGTGAATTCCTTCTCTTGCCTGAAAGACCATCCTTTCATACGGCAAGAGTACAGGGGTTTAAACAGTTTTAAAACAGACAAGAGAAGAAGCATGCGAATTAAATTTACAGAATGCGTCTGGAAAAGGTCTTAGCAGAATGCACTCGAACGGAGCGCTGTCGTGAAGTTTCTCAGCCATCCTTCAGATTTCATTAAGAAATATTTATATGAAGATCTACTAATTGTCCATCATCCATCCATCTATTTACCCATCCATCATAATTCTTAATGACTTTATTCAAAAGAAAGCCCATTTAATTATATTGGATAATAGAAATGAAAAGAAGCACTTTGATAATCAATCAACAATTCTTATTTTCCCCATTATTTTGTACAATCTCTCTCTACAGAATTCTCTAATGATTGATACATGTCAGATGCAAAGGTTTAACTGTAACATCTAAAGGAAAATAATTCCTATACATTTTGCTTAGCTTTACAGAGGCAATGAACTACATCTGAAAATTCTCTCCCAACCTACTGTCTTTAGTCCAGTCAAATGAAGCCCTCTTTTCTCTGAACGTCCACGATGCTTTGTTTCTATTTCTTTACAGTGTTTACTCCCTTACTTCGAAGCCTTACTCCATTGTTTCTAGTCTGTCTCACCCACCAGGCTGTTAGCCCTCTGAGGGCACCTTGTTTGCCATGGAGCACAGCATACATACCGAGCAGATTCAAAATCAATGTTGGTCAGAGAGGTTTTAGTTCTGCTCTACGTCTTTAGCCTCCTTTGCTGAAAATCAGACTTAACTGTAACCTTCAGAGGAGTCACATTGCATTTGAAAACTAAGATCCGTAGTAAAACTGCAGACAATAGCTATCATAACTAAACAAGGCTCTGCGGATTCCTGAGTAACTGTGCCGGAGGGAAGGAGATAGGACAATCTACATCGCTTGTACCATTGTTCTCCTGATACTGCACTTGAGAATGCGTAATGCAAGCCACCCAATAATTTGGGTAACTTCTAGCTAAAATCCGACAATTATTTCATGCTTAACTTGATCGTGAATTTCCTTTTTTTTTTTTCCAGTTTGCTAGAGAGTGCATGCGATCACTGGAGAGAGGAAAAAAAAAAAGAAAAGAAGAAAGCATTTCTCATTGGAGGCAGTCAAGCCACAACCCCCTCTCCGTTGCTCTCTCCTTTTGGGAGTTTGAGTATACATGCACATGTGCCTGGCGTGTTTTTCAAGCCACCAGGTCAGGCGCTCGAACCACATAGCCAGCCATGTGGGATCCAGCTGCCTTACACACCACCAGCAGCTGGCTCCTAGTTATGCGTTTTATCCACAAGGTCCTGCCACCAAGTTAAAGACCTCTTTGTGAATGACAGAACCGTGGGAGCAGGGAAGAGTGGGCTGACTAATCTGTAGTTACAAGGCTCAAAATACAAATTCACTCTCTTGCTCTCAGAAAGTGAGAGGAAATGCTTGACCATTTGGTGAATTCCTTCTCTTGCCTGAAAGACCATCCTTTCATACGGCAAGAGTACAGGGGTTTAAACAGTTTTAAAACAGACAAGAGAAGAAGCATGCGAATTAAATTTACAGAATGCGTCTGGAAAAGGTCTTAGCAGAATGCACTCGAACGGAGCGCTGTCGTGAAGTTTCTCAGCCATCCTTCAGATTTCATTAAGAAATATTTATATGAAGATCTACTAATTGTCCATCATCCATCCATCTATTTACCCACCCATCATAGTTCTTAATGACTTTATTCAAAAGAAAGCCCATTTAATTATATTGGATAATAGAAATGAAAAGAAGCACTTTGATAATCAATCAACAATTCTTATTTTCCCCATTATTTTGTACAATCTCTCTCTACAGAATTCTCTAATGATTGATACATGTCAGATGCAAAGGTTTAACTGTAACATCTAAAGGAAAATAATTCCTATACATTTTGCTTAGCTTTACAGAGGCAATGAACTACATCTGAAAATTCTCCCATGACTACTAGTGATTAACCAAATAAATGCTTTGCTGTTTTCCAAATGTGCTATTCCATAGACCTGCCTTTCAAATTGTTCTTTAGCATGACTAGACTATAAAAGTTTTATGTAACTTTGAAATTCAAATTGAAGTTACTTTGATTCCCAATGCCTTCTTCTTTTGTAGCCATAACTTGAGTTCTATAATACAAGGGCCTAGGAATTTTCAGAGGTTGACTTGCTATTTAAACTCATGGGGTCTTGCTTTAAAATGGTAAAAACTACTCTAAATTTGGTATCCACAGGGTCTTGTAAAATGGTCAAAACTCACTGTAAAGTTATATGTAATCCAATGTAATATAAAGAAGATTATGATGATAATAAAAAAGAAAAAAAAAGAAAAAAAATGGACCAAACTGTCTTTCTATTACAGAATAGGAATTGTCATAATACCAAGGAGTTTAACACGATGCAGATGCTGAGTAAAGGTTAAATAATATGATTATGAACCCCAAACTAGGCGCTTATGGGGTCCATTATATGATAGACCATGAGCAAAAAGGACATAATTTTGGTTCTAAATTTCACTAAAAGTATCAAGTTTAATTTAAGAGGTCCTTAAAGTAACGCTGTAGGACATGTCATTAAATCAACTTGATCAAGGATAAACTGCTTTGTTCACTATCCAGCTCACCTCAGTTGGACAGTCATTGTCCAACAGGTTTAACATTGTCTTGACCAGTTTCTCAGTAATCTTGTTGAAACAGGAAAATTGTTTGAAATTAATGTTCTGAAACGGAGCTTCTGTATTTAAACACTGAAAATGGAGAACTGCCCTAAATGAATATATCCAGCTTTTGCTTTTTGATTTGAAAGTGTTTTAATAATACAAAGATAATAATTCTCATACACACAAAGAAGACAATAATAATAATTACACAAATATTTTTTGCTGTCAATTGATGGAATAATTTGGATGTTCTTTTACAAATAGAACTGCCATAGCTCATACATATATTAGCATATTTTTCAAAATATATACAATAAACTCTGTCAAAGATAACATCATGTGTTAAAAATTAGTTAGAAAAAACAATTCTAACTGAATACTGCCTTCTTGACTTACTAGTGGGGAACCCTGATCAAAACTTGGTTTAAGAAGTTATTTATTTTATTTTTAAAAAACTGTA